TGATTCTGGGATTGTGTTTATTTGTTGACATTTGAGACATATGTGATTTTGAGAATTATGAAACGAGTTTTATTGTGTTTGATAATGAAAAATTTGTTCGAAAATTTACGTCGTTACATTTTCGAAGTTTCACGTTCGACATAATACAGTCGTGTATGTCATAAAATATGAAACAAAAATAGGTTGCTCGTTAGCCCAAACAATTTAAACGAGAGTTGATGTCCTCGTAAATACGAATCCGTTGATATAAAGAACGTTGAGAACCATCAGCCTTCCTGTTGGGCTTCGACAACCTCATGTGTTCTTCGGCCCCCAACAATTTGGATCACTTCGTTACTCCGCTGCAACATTGACTCAACAACAACAAAATGTGGGCAACCTATTTTTTCTGCACCACATGCTCTACCTTCACAGATGAGCGTTCCAGGTTTTGGTGGTCACGCAAATGCTCATCAATTTACCGATTTGGCCTCAGTATTCCAATCTATATCCGTTCAACATTCGCCAGATAACAAGTTTTATATGGACTTGAGAGCAAGCTCACATTTGTCATTCAATCAAGGTAACATGCTCTCTCTAACACCATGTAGATTTTTACCAAATTCAAAAGTGTTAGCCGAAGAAGATGGTCTGAAAATTGACGATGACTATAAAATATTGAAGTGACTTAATGTACAAAAGTTAGTTTAATGATAAATCGTATATAAAAATATGAGTTTAATTTAGTTCACTGAACAAATATAATTTTAATGATGCAAGGTGATGGCCATTAAATATTGAAGTGACTGAATGTACAAAAGTTAATTTAATGATAAACCGTATATAAAAATATGAGTTTAATTTAGTTCATTGAACAAGTATAATTTTAATGATGCAAGTTTAATGTTGTTTCTTTAAAACATAAACCGAATAGTCCTGTAATAGTCGATAAAATTGATTTATTATAACGATTGTAAGTTTAATAATAAATCATGTAAAAAAATAAAAATGTTACCGGCTTACAAACATGACCGTTTATTACCTATCAAGTTACTTCCCCTTTTTATAAGTTGGAACAAAAACACTATAAACTAAGGTAGAGTTGGAAAAATGGACTAGTTGAAGAATCAAAATGAGTAAACTTTTGGTTGAAATATATGATTAAAAAATTTACGTCATTATATTAATAATTTATATTTTTAATAGATTTTGTTCATGATATTGTATCAATTTTAATACAGCTTTCGAGTTTCGACCCTTTTTATTCTTGGAAAAATACCGGCAATAGTCAAAAAAATTGGGGGTATTTTCAAAATTTAGACATGAAAATGGATATTTCCGGGTATAGACATGCATTCCGCGGAGGTAGCTCCGCGGAGCTCCGCGGAATCTACTGTAGCTCCGCGGAATGACAAAATCGTAAATAAATTAATGTATTTAAAATAAAAAAAAACTCAAGATCCATTTCGCGGAGCTACAGTGGATTCCGCATAGCTCCGCAGAGGTAACTCCGAGGAATGGATCTTCAATTTTTTTTTTTTTTTTTTTCAAATCGATTCTTCTTGGTTTATATTCATTCCCCCAACTAATTATTTTCATTATAGTATGAATTTTTCTTGACAATGTTTGGAATAAATGTGAAGTGAAAAAAAATTGGTCTTTTAATTAGAGATCATTACATAAAAGAATTATTAAAGGAGTTTTTTTTTTTTTTTTTTTTTTTTAAGATCCATTCCTCGGAGCTACCTACGCGGAGCTCCGCGGAATCCATGTCTATACCCGGAAATTCAATTTTTTGTGTCTGTATTTTGAAATTCAACCCCAAATAATGTCGGGAATATTCCCTTTATTCTTATTCTTAGCTAAATTTTTAGATTCTTTATATTTCGTGGGCCCAGTTGTATAGAATACAAAAAGGATGGTGGAACGCAGAGTACCCTAACCTATCAGACCCTTTCACTTTGCCTCAAAAGGTTGACTTCCAATTTTCTGAATTCTGACTCTAACAGTTGCAGTTTTGAGTCACTTGTCACCGTTCTTCGTCAGGTTTTTTTTGATGAACTATTTTATTTTTGCAGATTATTTGTGTTTTTCTTCAGTATAATGCAGTTATGATTCGTCTCACTATTGCACATTCATCATTTCTCGTCTTCTTTGCATGTTAGTTGTTTGAAATTTTGTAAGTCTAGATGATTTCATTAAAAAATGTGTTTGTATATAAGGATAACAAGTCGATAATCAATTCGCTAGAATGAGATTATGAGATTGAATCTGAATGAATCTATTTGAAATCGTATAAGTGTAAACTGATTATTAACCTTTGATCGACATTTATACAATTTCAGGAATGGAGCATTTGAAATCTCCATTCAGAGGGATTGCACATGATGTTAGAGGAAGAGCATTGTGCTATAAACAGGATTGGAATGTCGGAATTCGCTCTGGAATTGGGTAATCCTCTTCGTTCCTCTGGTTTACGTGCATGATCCAAATTATACGTAGTTCTCTATGTATGTATAACCTAATGATTCAGCATTTCAACTAGATCGACTGTTTTGAGTCACCATTTTCTGAGAACTATATTGATTCAAAATGCTAATTATGATTGTTTGTAGGATTTTGGCTCCAACTACATACATCTTCTTTGCTTCTGCACTACCTGTCATTGCATTTGGGGAGCAACTTAGTAGAGATACAGGTATTCTATAGACGAGGAAAGTAAATATAATTAGATGATTCAAAATGATAATTAGTTAACTTTTTCAACTGTTATTGTTGTAGATGGAAGTTTGAGCACAGTTGAAACTTTGACTTCTACTGCTATATGTGGTCTCATACACTCAATACTTGGTGGACAACCTCTTCTGATATTGGGAGTAGCAGAACCTACTGTTATCATGTACACTTACTTGTATAACTTTGCTAAAGGGAGGCAAGATTTGGGGCAAAAACTGTTCTTGGCATGGGCTGGATGGTAATTTTAAATAAGAACCTCAGTATTCCATGCTTTCTGAATCACCAAGTCCTAATTTATGTCTTAATAGCAACACAATTTTTGCAGGGTATGCACTTGGACAGCTCTGATGTTGTTCATTCTTGCAATTTTCAATGCATGTGTTATCATCAATAGGTTTACAAGGATTGCAGGGGAAACTTTTGGGATGTTAATTTCTGTTCTTTTCATTCAAGAGGCCATCAAGGTAACCAAAAGTTTCAAAGCTAAAAGTTTGTTATTGTTACTGATGTTTCATGTTTTATAACATTTAGCTGTGATTTTGTTGGTTTAGGGACTAGTGAGTGAGTTCAAGATTCCTAAAAATGAGGATCCAAATAAAGTGAAGTATCAATTTCAATGGCTTTACACTAATGGTATTCTTGCAGTTGTATTCTCATTTGGGCTTTTATACACTGCATTAAAAAGCAGGAAAGCAAGGTCATGGTGGTTTGGAACAGGTGAATGGAGTAGGCTTTAGATTGCTTCTGCATATTTTATATTTCTTTTATCAAATATGATGTAGATTCTTATCATCTTAATATGTAACTACTGTTATGTGAAACTAGGGCGACTCAGAAGCTTCATAGCAGACTATGGAGTCCCATTGATGATTATAGTGTGGACAGCTGTCTCTTTCAGTGTACCAAACAAACTCCCTTCTGGAGTTCCAAGAAGACTCTTTAGTCCACTGTTATGGGAATCTGAATCAACATACCATTGGACTGTTATCAAGGTAAATATTTGTAGACATTTTATATAATAAAACTTCATAATTAGATCTTAATTCTTCCCTTGAATTTAAGTACAGGATATGGGTAAAGTTCCTCCTGCATACATCTTTGCAGCCTTCATCCCAGCTCTTATGATAGCAGGGCTTTATTTCTTTGATCATAGTGTTGCTGCACAGTTAGCTCAACAGAAAGAATTCAACCTCAAGAATCCTTCAGCCTATCATTATGACATTCTTTTGCTTGGATTCATGGTACCCATGTTTTATTTTTTTTGCTATATTGTTAATATATAATTAACATGTTAACAATCGGACACATATTTTTTAAATTATTAAATGTTGTTTTCAGACGTTGCTTTGTGGATTATTAGGACTACCTCCTTCAAACGGTGTATTGCCTCAATCACCCATGCACACTAAAAGCCTAGCAGTTCTCAAAAAACAGGCAAGTCCACAAAAATATAAATAATAGAATTAGAAATGTATCATTAATTTGATTTATTTCTTCTAATAATGTAATTGTTTTGTTCTACCAGTTTATTAGAAAGAAGCTAGTAGCAAGTGCTAAGGAAAGCATAAAGCAGAAAGCTAGCAATTCAGAGATCTACAACAAGATGCAAACTGTTTTCATAGAAATCGATAGCTCTCCAATTGTAAATCTTCAGTATCTCAAGTGTTAAACACAAGAAATAGCAACACATTTTCACAATTTTCAAAGTTTATATTTTTCTTAACTTGTTTTCTTACATTACAGACAACTGCGGTAGTTAAAGAACTAAAGGACTTGCAAGAAGCAGTGATGAAAGTAGAAGATGGAGAAGAAAACACAAAGGGGAAGTTTGATCCTGAGGAGCACATTGATGCACACTTACCTGTGAGAGTTAATGAACAAAGGGTCAGCAATCTACTGCAGTCAATTCTTTTAGCAGGATCTATTTGTGCAATGCCACTTATAAAGTTAATACCAACTTCAGTTCTTTGGGGTTATTTTGCTTACATGGCCATTGATAGTCTTCCTGGAAACCAGTTTTGGGAAAGGATCTTGCTTCTCTTTATCCCCTCTGGCAGAAGATACAAGTGAGTTCTCTGTTCTCTCATTTTCAAGCATTAGATATCACAATAATTAGAGCATCCACAGTGCTACAATTATTTCTTTAAAAAAAAAAATCAGTTTTTTTGTGCTATGTTAGCACCAACAATGCTACAATTATCTCTGTTTTCTCATTTTTCGAGCATTAGATATCTTAACTGTCTCCACTATACAATTTTCCTTGGTGTAGAAAAGAAAATTGAAATGAATAAACTGATATTTATATTTTCAGTTAATACGAAATCTATAGTTTTGTAACATTTTTTTTTATCCAAAATGTTACCAAAATTTTTAAGTTTTAACTTTTAGCATTTGCATTTTTATAAATTTAAATATATTTTTTTGATATGTAATCATTACGAATAACTAATTTATATAACAAAACATTTCATATCCAGCTTTAACTTTTGAATATATTTTTATATTTGTTTTATGAAATAGAAGTGTATACATAAAAATAAAAATAAAACCAAAAGTTCAAAAGAGGTAAATTACGAATAACTAATTTATTTTTTGATCGATGAAAGCCACCTATTTTTAAAAGAATTTTCATTTCGACCCCCTCTTTCTGGTTTACAAGATGTTAAACTAACATGCTTTTCATTTACCTACATGACATCATTTTTTTTTTTTTGGAAAATGAAATAGCACTTTGTTTCCTGAAATGGCTTAGGGTGCGCTTGGTTGTGAAAAACTGCTTTCATTTTCCAAAAAAATGTTTTCAGAAAATATAGTTGAGTTTTCAATGAAAATTTTAGAAAATGCGTTTGGTTGGAACCAGTAGAGTTTTCATTTTCCATCTTAGAAATTTACAAAACTCTGGAAAACTGTAAAAATCACTTTTCTAATTTACATACAATTTGGAAAACAGAAAATTTTCATTTTCTTGGAAATTTTTTAAAAACTAAATCAACCAAACGCGTTTTCTAAATTTTTATTTTCATTTGAAAATATTCATGGAAAACAAGAAAATTTTCCACAATCAAACGCACTGGTATCATTTTCTTGTTTGGGAGACTATAAGCATACCATGTAGGCAAATGAGAGAAGCCATTTCACAAAGTTAAATGCTATTTTAGAAATTACATATAGGTTAGTGAAAGTCATGTAGTTTTAACACATGCTAAACCAGAAATAGAGGGTCAAAGTGGTTATGATGGAAATTTCTTTCAAAAATGGGTAACTTTCATTTATTGAAATAAAATATACTGGTTAAACTGATTAAAAAAAAAACGACCAAAAATAGTGGCTTTTATGTATATATCACCCAATAAAAAAAATGTCAATACTGAGAAAAAAAAATAATAATAAGCTTGTAGAATTACAAGCTTGCTTTAACTTGAAAAAACTTTTGAGAAAGCTGTAATTTGAAGTTTGTTTTTTATTTTGTTATGAATATGTATATGTATATGTATGTATCTATGTGGTGGCAGGGTTCTGGAAAAGGTTCATGCTTCTTTTATCGAGTCAGTCCCATTTAGAAGCATAGTCATATTCACAATCTTCCAAATCATCTATTTCCTCGTATGTTATGGTGTCACATGGGTCCCTGTAGCTGGCATTTTGTTCCCAGTTCCTTTCTTCCTTCTCATCAGCATAAGACAACACATTCTACCAAAACTATTCCAGCTCCATTATCTCAGGGAGCTTGATGCAGCCGAATATGAGGAAATCCTGGGTAGTCCAACACGACCTCCTAGTTTCAATCTCAGGGTAATTAATTAACTTTTCACAACCCATATACAATCACAATTCAGAATTCAGAATTGACTTACTCTCTCTGTGTATATATATACAGGAATCGGATAGTGGACATGGTGGGAGTAATGAAGGTGACGTGGCGATATGTGATGCGGAAATACTTGATGAGATGACTACAAATAGGGGGGAGCTCAAGGTTCGGAATCTTAGCTTTAGAGAAGATAGACGCACCCAGGTAATAACTACACTTACTTTTTTCTTTCCTATCATTCAACCTTATACATCTTGTTTTCAAATTTATTCATATACATATTGTTGCTTCATAGTTATAGACCATTTATCAGCTTGTGAAATTGCTCAGGATCATTAGAATATGTTAAATTAATATTATTGTATTCCTATAATTTGTTTTGTAATATGTTAAATTAATATTATTGTATTCCTATTGAATATTTGTTTTGTAATGTAGAAGGCTAGTAAATTAATACTAATAATAGAATTGTTATAAAATATCAAGTGACAATTATTTTTTATTAATAATTAATGGTTCAAAACATATTTATATTTGATTAAATAAATAATTTGGTGGTGGTCCCAAAAACGTTTAGGGGCTATTTGATACATTTCCTATGGGTCGTTCAGACCGTTTAATACCACAATTAAAAGTCTCTGATTCGGTTTTAAAAAGTTAGGTCTGACTCAATCAACACACTATCAAAGAACTAGTTAGCTTCATTGTAAATAATCTTACAAAATTTGCAAAGCTTAGATGCAAATTGTTAGCAGTTGATTTAGTTGTAGAACTAAATAACAAATTTGGTCCATCTTTGTTATACAAATTCTTATGGATTAAGTCCAAAAAGATTTTTCCTGTAAATTTGCCTTTGATGTTTCATTTTGTTATTGTTTCTGTCTTCATGATTTTATTTTGTTTCAGATTTGGACTAAAAAACTATTTTGCGCCTAATCATATATTTGGTATTAATCTGTTATCATTTATTTATGCTTTAAGTATTAATACCATAAAAGTTGGCACTACCCCTCCCCGCAAAGGCAACCACCATTGTGGTTTGTGGGGCAAAATAGTTGATTTTTTTTTTTTTTCGAAACCCAAAACAAAATGAAACAACTTACTGGGACCAAATAAGCAACAAAATGTAAACACATAAGCAAATACAAAACAATAAATTTTTTTTGGACCAAACCTTTAACAAATGGAAAAGCACAAGGACCAACCTGTAATTTACTCATAAAACCTTTTTTTTTTTTTTTTTTGCAGCAAATTTACCACGGGGACTATATCCAGTCTGAGTGAAAAAAAATAGAGAAGACAGTTATGGATAGCGAACCAAAGTGCAACTATGATGCTTGTAAAGGTAATGAGTAGTTGTATGCATTTGGTCAGTGTAGTAGTTAGCGTTCACAAGAATTAGAAAAGCTCATGTTGGTGTTAGTTTGATTTGATCATGTAATTGTAAATGTACAAAAAGTTGGTTTAAACTTTAAAGCCCAAATGGAACATTGATAATAAAAATCAGACCATTGGGCTTTTAAGCAGGCACGAGAATTTCCTGTTTTTTGAGCTCAACTCAAATGACCACAAACCCGTTGCAATTGATACAAGTGAAAAATATCTTAGAGCGTAGAAAAGGTTATTAAAAAGCTTTAAAAAAAATAAAAAATCTGTGTATACGAGCTTTTTCCATTTGATTATCTATGTTTTGTTTTTATAGTTGTTGATTTGTTATTGGTTGAAAAGCTATGAGGCCCACCACATCATTGTAAAAGCTTAAAAGAAGAGTTTGCTCATTAGCTAGATTCTTGGAAAAACTTCGGTTTGAAAAAGCTCTTCAAATAGCTTTTCATTTTGAAAAACTTTTTGGCTTGAAAAAACTCATGGATTTGACATTTCTATTGTAAATTAGACATTGCCATCTTCTGTTATTAATTTTGATAAAACATATATATTTTGATTCTTTATAAGATTGAAAAATATAATTTGTTGACTTTTCTTTAACGGTGTAGTTTATAAAAAATAATAATCAGTTTTTATTGTGTACTAAAAATCTGAAATAAGAAGAGGTGTGAAATGTAGTTTTTGTATAAACAGAACGAGTGTAATTGAAATTTTATATTGTAATTGTGAAAGTGGTGTCGGACTTGTATAATGCCACATCATATGAACCTGAAGCCCACTTTGGTGGATGGATTAAAATTTAAAAGCCTACACTATGCTCTTAGAAAGTGGTTTTGAAGTTAATACGTAAATTATATTTCTCTAATCTATCTATTAATGGTATATGCCTAATTGGAAATTAAAGCAATGATGAACAAAATATATTTTATGTTAATATCGAGTAATGATTGAATCTATAGACAGTGTATGCAAAAAAGTTGGTTATATATTGTATATATATTGGTAAAAAGACGACATATATTAAACAAAACTAGCTAGAAGCTAGCCAAAAGTATACGTAGATAATTAAGAAAAATAAAGAGAAAACATCCTAAGCAGCGAATAGGCTCGATACACTATTTCTCATAGCAAAAGAAGTTTATATTTCCCCTTTGCTCTATCCATGTAAAAGCCATCAACATAGTTTGATCTATCATTTTCACCGGACAAGGTTTCGCCTTCTTGAAAATAACTTCGTTCCTTGATCTCCAAAAATTCCATAAAGTCGCCATGAGAATCCATGAATAAGTTTTGTTGCCTTTTTGATTTTGCCAATAAAAATGTTTCAATGAATAAAGATCTAATGTCCCTAGGGTTTATACTTGTGAACCCACACCATATTTGAACTATATCCCAAACTTTTGTTGCAAAGTTACATTCCAAGAATGAATGCATAGTGGAATCTTCCCCGATATGACAAAAACTATGTTGATAGCTCCCCATGTTGGTGATTTTAGTGTTATCAACATATTTTGTTGTAATTATTATTAATAATGAGATAGGCCGAACTCCATTTACTAACCGAGCTTGGAGGTGCGGGATGCACACTCGGTGTGATAAATGTGAACTCGGGAATACGGGGGTTCGGGGGCAGCACCCCTAGCGGGGTCCAAGGGGCAGAGCCACTGGCGGTGGTTTCGCTGATCGGTCAGCAAACGGGGTTCTAAGGGGCAGCGCCCCGAAACCTAAACAAATTTTTGTATCAGGTAGTGAGACTCTGGTCATGCACTTTTCCTCCAAAAACAACCCACTAGATGACATCATAATGATGCAGACATTAGTTATGTCCATTAACTAACATTTTTTTTTGCACAAATTCTACATGCAACCGCCAATAACCATATTTCCCTCTAGTATAAGAATGTTTTTTGGTTCCAGAAAACGGGTTGGAACTTTCATACACGAAAACTGTATATTGATTCATTCTATCTCTCTATAACACAAAAACAACAAGGTATATTATGTGTTTTTGGTTTAGAAGTGGTCAGACTTCTAAATTGAAATTTTTTGGATTATTCGAAATCTGACTTGTAACATCCGTGTTTCTAGGCTAGACATTAATATTGACGTGATAGTCTAGGTTGACCTTTGTAACTCATTTAGAAGAAATGAAAAGGAATTATGTGAAAATTATGTGTTT